AAAAAAAAAAAAAAAAAAAAAAAAAAAAATCTATTTCAGTTTTTTGTAATATTCTCTCTGAGGAAAAAAAAAAAGTCAGTTTAGCTTTTGGATCCAAGTAGCCTAAATATACTAAAACTGTCAAGGAGCAATGTATTATAGGAAATACATTTCAAATGGCATCTGTCTCTAGTTCTGCTTTTTTTTCTCCTGCAGCAGCACATTGCACCTCGCAGGGAAAACTCCAGGTTTTCGAAACCTGAAACTTCCTTTGTTGGTGTCATTTAGCTCCCAGCGAGCAGCAGGTGGTACTTAATACTGTCGAGGCAGACTGAATAAAAGGAACTTCATGAAACTTATTGTAGGGTGCTGGCGAACGCACAGCTGTCCAACACGGTCTTAGAAATAAAGCAAGTCATACGGGAGGCTTGTTCCACATTTCCAAAGCTCTGAGTGAATGGTGAGAAATGAGCATGGCCGGGAGGCTTCCATAGCAGCAATCGTGGCTCAGTCGAGGGCCTGGGGTACAGCCAAGGTCTCACAGGCATGCAGCTGCCCACTTACCATAAACACAAAGGCTCAGCATGGCTACGCATGGCAGCCAGGGAGGCCTAGGATCTTAAAGCTGGCTCGCTGCTTAATTATCTCATACATAATCGCCTGCACTGTATACATTTGTCCAGAACAAGAGCTTTTGCTGAGCTCTGTAATGGAGGCTTTGGGCAAATCGGTCAAAGTCGGAGAAAAAAAAAAAAATTGTAAACTTCAGCGCTAAATCTAACAAAGTCTCCTAATTACACAAGGGGGGCTAAGGAGACAACAAGCTAACCGTACAAAATCTTAAATAGTTTAACTATATAGCGCCAATTCACAACACAAGTCATCTCAAGGCAATTTCCAATTCAACCAGATCATACAGTCAAATTGATTGAAAGTTTTCTAAGAAAAACCAGTTGATTGCATCGATTCATTGACTTGAAGGGAGTCCCTCAAACCAAGCTTGTAGCGACAGTGAAGAATTGGTAGAAAAACTTAAAATACATAGATATGTAAAGCAAGATAAGAGCTTTTCATTTGATTAACTTGAGTTCAAATACCAACTAATCAAAAAACTGATCAATTATTGTAGAATAATATTCTCTAGGGCAAATGTTTTCATATAATTTTCATTGATAGATTTAAGATTAAAACAATTGGAAGCACATGTGCAGATTATTCCTGAATGAGGTGCTTTTAGTCTCACTGGGGGTAAAGCGATCACATATTAGCTGGTTAATTAGTCAGGATAGATATCTGCTGGAATAAGCAGCCTAGTTGATACTGCTGTAGTGTAGTTTAAGCAGAAACAGGTGGGGTGGGGGCTGCTCTACAATGAGACTTAGGCACATGTTGGGGGCGTCTCCATAAAAAGGATTATAAAATTATAAATGCACAAGTTAATTTGAATAAAGATCAGAGTTCTGCAGGTCAAAAATGGATGATTTAAACATGCAATGCATAGAAGTGGATCAAACTATATTCATTAATTTTCTGTCTGTAATAAACTACAAAAAAAAAACAAAGTATTGTTTTGGGGAAAACAATTATATTAACTCATCCAGATATTCTCTAATAACCAGGACCAATACCGTTTTATTTAGAGAAGTGAATTTAAATACCTCTTTAGACTAAAACTAAATGTTTTCAGTGGTAAAGAAAAAGGAAATTAACTGTGAGCCCTGGTGGCAGGCAGCCCTCACACACAGATAAGTATACACGTTAAACAGCTTTTCATATGAGCCTGCAGCTAACCTTCCAGGTGGATGGCACTCAGTTTAACAAGAAGAAAAGAAGAAAAAAAAAAGCCCTGAGCTGGTTTAAAATGGACCAGCACAGTCTATCAACCCCCCATTTCCAATGAAAGGGAAACCAATTTGTTAGAGGAACTGGTGAGAGTAGAAACCACAGTGAGAAAACAAAAGCAGCCAAAACCTGGTGATAACTGTAAAATATTAACTTTAAATGAGGAAAATATGAAATCTCTCAGCTGTAAAACATTTTTGACACACAGGCAGTCATAAATACAGCCATGTGGGACACTTCAGTCATCACGTTTCCCTGTTTTTGTTTATGAGGCCAGTTGGCAAACTGATGAATCTGTAGGATGCTTGTCAGCCAACAACTTTGTACCTAAGGGACAAGATGGCTTTTTGAAAAAGAGATAACATTCTGAAACCAAAAGTCAAAAAAGTGTAAAACAAGTAAAGGGTATAAAATAAGGAGGAGTCATTCAATATCTAGCTGTAATTAAAACTCATAAAAGAAAAACACAAAATTAACATTCATGACAATACAAGTTGAGACTACTGGTGACCTATGTGGCAAGATATTACTTTGAGAAGTTTTTTAGAACACTTTTTAAAAGTTTCCCCAACTTTTTTTTTGTTTTGTTTGCGCCTAATAAATAAAATCAAGAAGGATCTGACTTTCTTAAATGAAACATCTGTTTAAAATAAAGGATAACTGTGAGAGAGTTGAAACAGGCAAAACAAAGGGACAAGGCTAGGGGAGTTCTCAGGAGGAAAACTTGCTAAGCTAGCTAACAGGAACTCTATTCAGACTCAACTAAAGACTCCACATCGATAATAACCAAACTTTTTATCATTTACTGAGCAACATATCTTCAAAACAACATATACCAGTTCTTTGTGATGTAACTATAGACACCATATTTGGTTTTCTAAGCAATGTTGCTGACATTTGAACAAAATTTCCAACTCACAAGCATAACTGAAGAGTTCCTCGGTTTTTCAACAGTTCAGAGCAGCTGTTTAGTTTCTGTTAGCCATGGCGAGATTTCTTTCTTGCAATATATAAACAAGAACAAGGCAGGAAGCAAACAGCCTACTTCAGCTGCTCTCTACAAACTACAACACTGCCCCACTACTCTACTGTCCCACACAACCACACGCTAATGAGCTTGTGACGACTGCGCGGACCGTACCACTGAAACAGGGGGAGAAGGAAGCTAACATTTGGTCATTCGTACCTTTAAATGTCGTATTTATTCCGAATTAGGAGTAGTATGTATAGTAAACGCATTTACCTGCGTAGTTTTGAAAGTGTGAGGAATTTGAATGAAATGTATACCCTTTTAAGGATTTTGTTGACAGATACACCCCCTCCTTGCTCTGAAGTTATCGACTAACCTTCCAGAAGTAATGAAAAGTAATCAGTTTTTGAGGTAGGCAAAATATGATGGGAATTCCGGTTTCCGCATCATTTGGATATAGCTTTATATATATATATATATATATATATATATATATATATATATATATATATATATATATATATATATAT